AAGGGAGTTGAGATAGCGTCGTCATTGAGACCATCTGGTCGTCAACACAATGGTCAGAGGTTCACGTTGTGACACAGGGGCCAAGAAAAGCTTCTTGCTATGTATTAGGTTTTGAACTTCTTCCTACTCTATTTCAAGCACATGCACTATCTATCATCAATATATGCACCACCACTATCAGTGACTTGTTGCCAACGACCAACCGAAGAGTGGCCGCTTAACTCCCAGAAGGCTGGCAGTTACGAGCTGAAAAAGGCAGTGAGGTCGATTTCGAGGTGTCTATGGAAATGTATTTTTTGTGGTACGATGATTGCTGAAGCAAAAAGAGCAAACGTCTTTTTTCGAAACGAAGTCGTATCGTTCCGATGAAGCTCGACCTTATCTTTTTTCTGAGTTCCAAAAAAGTTTTGTTGACTTTTCAACGTGAGTCTCGCGCGTTTAATCACACTAAACTTTTAACTGACTTAATAGTTGTGACGAGGAATTTTTCCTGGTTGGGTAAACTAAGCATCAGGCGAAGTAGCCGCTCACACAGCAAGTTAACCCCGAGGATTGGCTCTACACGAGAGAGCACAGCCTACTCCAAAGTCCGACGACGATGGCTTTCCTGGAAGAGGGTTTTCCTCTCGGCTGTAGTCTCGTGAGCAATGAAGATCTATCCATTCTGATGCCTCATGGCTGGCAATGACAGTGAGTGCATCGCGAAGCCGATGCTTCTTTCACGGCTTTCGTTCGGTAAATGTGGCTTAGTAGAAGTTCCTGAGTCAGAGCGTGGGAATTATGGCTCTTTTTCCGCACACTGAACACGAAGAAGGTGGCTAGGGAAGGTATGATTTGGTTATAAGTTACTGCAAGTTGTGCCCTCTCTAAAGCCTACGTGAACATGTTTAGAGTTTTGACGAAACGAGTCTTCGTGTCATCGAGATGCAGTAAATATGAGTCTTTTGAGAATAACCTAATACAAGAACACTGGATTTTGCCAAAAGTTTAATTAACTTAACTATCTAAATTTCCTGCCTCGAATGAAGAGCGCAGTTTTAATCGCTTCAGTTCATCCACCACCCCGAGACTACTTCGCCAACGAATCAGCACGTGGGGCGTACGTGATGCTACATTTGAACTCAGCGTGTCCTCGACATCCTTGCCTTCACACACAGTCGTGAGCAGGGTGAATATCGGTGAAGGAATTCCTTGGCATGGGGATCGTACTTGTCAGGGTGGGTAACAAGGGTTGTACTTGTGGGCTTGGTAACATCAGTGGCATATGGTACAAATAGGAATGAGAGGGTGTAGCGCAGCAGAAAACGAGCAATTGTGAATGAAAAGGATGTGAAATATTTTTGCAGACTCAGTCGCTCTCTTCCTCGAACTTTATGAGAACGACGTATTTGAAAGCTGTACAAATAATGAAAACACATCTACGCAAAGAGCGTGGCCACATTGAGGCACGTCGCCGTTCTTCTCCAAATAAATGACACGTTGTGGGTGGACGCCGTGCGCAAAACGACAACAGGTGAAACGAAAGGCCCTTCGAACAATGGAAAGTCTGTTCCTTTAGGTTCAATACGAAATCTGTTCCGACAGTGTAGTTCTTTCTGAAAGGTCATCATCATATAACACCTTTCAGTCGATTCTGCAACTTCGAGTGAAGGTCGGATGCATGACCTATAGTGAGACGAATCACCCTAGGTGGGTCCAAGTGTTTCTGTGTTTGCGATGCCTTCCTAGAGCCACTGGGTCTAGGGGACGGTTCTTGAAGTTTGAAATGGTGTTTGAGGATGAATCGCACTGATCTTTGACTTTCCAGGCTCTGACGAAGGCGACAAGGCCGAAACGTAAGCCTGATAAAGGGTTATTAACATCTTGGTTGCGGTTTCAACAAACCTCATCGAGAATAGTCCAATATTAAATATTGCTTCCTGTACTACCACGATCGCACTTCCCTGATACTTGCATTCCTTCGTGTTATTGCGTGGTATGACAAAAAAGTATCGAAACGATTTCATTAGAATCCAAATTAGGGGGGGGGGGGGCGTATCATGACCCTGATTCAGGTGGTGTCGTACTGCTACCACTTCCTCGACACGATTTTTCAACCTTGCCGACCAGTGAGTAGGCCGATGTCAGACTTTGCGAATCGCGCGATTCGCTAGCGTCTGCGGTCGCGTCGCGGCCAGTGAATCACTCAATTGGCTGGTACCGCAACGCGACCGCGGACGCTAGCGAATCGCGCGAATCGCTAGTAGCGAATCGCGCGATTCGCAAAGTCTGACATCGGCCTCAGGTCGTAGTTTCTTCATTTCGTATAGTATTTTATAGTTCTCTTTGCCTTTCGTGGTTTCAAGATTTTCATTGTACATGAATCTATTGACTACAATTTGCCTTGTTGTGTACGAAGATCACAAGGGTTCACATCCGCGACGTATGCTCCTACCTTTGCCGGTGCTGCTTATATGTACCTGGTGATTACGATGCCCGTTGCCCGGGCTAGTGGATTCCATGGTGGAATGAAGGAATGCACCACTTGTAGGTTATAGTGTGGTACCGGGTCGAGGCTGCTTGGGTTTTTCAGGTTCCCGCACGGCTTAGTGGCCCTGAAAAGCGCGTCATTCCCCGATAACTTACCATTTTAAGCTTGCTAACCCACCCACCCCGATGCTTCTAGCATATGCGTAGCAAGGCGCCCAGGCCGACTCGACAACACTTCGCCTCCCCTATGCAGGGATAGGGATGCGCAGTGTACTTCGACGTGGTAGTAGATCGTACATATATGGTTGTTCTCTATCGCGCCATAATTGGACTTAACAGCTCAATGCGAAATTATAGGCTAGTTCCACCTTTCTCCTCACCCTGCCCTCCCTCCCATCTCCACAACCTTACTGGGATTTCATACACTTCTTCGATCGGTATCTTTTGCCATGACAGCTTCGATACTGTAAGAAATATTATCTTCAGGAATTTGAAAACGTCCTTTTCAATTTTGCGGTCATCATATTGCAGTTCTACACGATCTCTAGGCAACACAGCAGCGCATACAACAAAATCCTTTATTTTTCAGCAAAAAAGTAGGATTCCTTCAGACAGACTGCCAGCTCATTCCGACCTTACCGCCGCCTTGGTCATTGCAGATGTACTTCTTACCACCTTCGACTTTGCTTCCACCAATAGGAATCTAAAGATTCAAGTTTTTTAAGTAAGAAAAATAGGCATATTAAAAAGTGGACAGAGTAGAAGATAGACGCTGAAAAAACGAAAAAGCATAATAGGAACTGACAACGAGGGCAGATGCCCCCCCCCCCGCAGGAGAAATAGAGAAACAATTTCAATAGAGTGATTGATGACTATCTACACATGATTTCCCGCAGTAGTGCAATACAACTGGGACGGGCACGCTGATTTTTCGAATACGGTAGGCGCGAAATGCATGTACGTAGGGATTAGGGTGAAACTCCAGTTCGGGGGGGGGCCACTCCATTGCTATCTTATCCGTAGTACTAGAGAGCAGTTCTTTGGGCTATCGAACACTACGGATAAGATAATAAGTGAAT